TAAATTACTTTTTATACAGAGCCGCACAAGACAAAATGTTGCACCGACGACGGCCAATTGTTCAAAGATCCATCGTTGCTTCATAGAACGTGTTATCCCATGCTCATACCTTTCAACGATCCTATCTACAGCAAGACTAACATAAGATGTCTCAACTTCGTTCGTAGTACGACTGACCTTGACCACGGTTGTTCAGACCGATTCAAACCAGCAGAACAGGTTTGCTATTACGTTTAATGGTTTTACTCGTTTGTTTCCACGGATATAAATAGCAAATCTGACCGTCATCATAACTGTACGATATACGATATAATTTATTTTAAACTTGAAGATTTAAAAATAACTTCAAACTTCGCTTTCACACACAACTTGTCTCACCGTTCTGATCACGATTCTAAATCTTTTTTAGCTGAATGTGGTAACACATTTTTTGGATCTTTCCCTGGTTTATGGATCCAGCGATCAAGTAGCAGCTAATTTACGAGCAGGTGTCAATGGACGCTTGAGGGTGGACGTTCGAACCAACAGGGAATGGCTACCCTCGGCACCAAACGCATCCGAATCGTGTGACATAGTGAAACCTGTCGAAGTTTGCTATCTAGCAGGTAAGATTTAATGCGATAACATCATTGCAGGGAATAGGTATAATTCTTTTTATTAATCGTTAATTGATATTCTAGAGATTTTATAGATCTTGTTAATCTGTCTCAACGATGCAATTTTTATAGATATAACGTTCGAATTAAGGATTCTTTGAATTTCGAAAAAATTAAATAATATTCAATTGTGAAAATGATTATTAAAAAGATTCGTTCGGAAATGAAGAATAGATATAGCTAAATCATTTTCTTGCGATGTAATTTAATATAAGATAAAATAATAATTAACTATCTGTAATGTATTTTGACTTATATATAATGATATAGAATTACAAAAATAAAGAAACCTTTAATTACTAATTGAAAAGAAATGAAACACATAGCATGATGTTAAACACGTAATCTTTGATCTTTAATTAAAATTTACGAATAATTAATTATCCTTTTATCTTTATGAGTTTTTATGAGTTCATAACTCATAATTATCAATATTAGAATTAAAATATCTTTTCCCTCGTAAATAGTTTTGAAAAGATTGATGTTTAATTTTGATTTAATGCTACATCGATTTTTCTTAAAAAAATAAAATTTTTTTTAATCATTTTGCAAAATTTCACTTCAGATAAATGAAATGAGATACACCGATTTCTTTTCAAATAATGCATGTAGTAATTGCATTTATATCAATACATTACTGATTACATCTAACATTCACTTTTAAATCTAAATTCACGAATTAAAATAAAATGTATATTTCTCTTTTCACCAAGAAAAGGCGTAACAATGCATATATTTTCCTTTCATACACAGATACAGTATTGGATTAATTATTTTTAAAAATACTATAAAAATTTATTTTTTCGTTACTTATTATTAATAATAAAAATGTCTCTCAATTTGTATTTCAGGCGATAATCGAGTCAACCAGAATACTCAATTGACCATTTTACAAATAATACTGCTTAGGGAGCATAATCGTATCGCTAATGCCTTAACTAAATTAAATCCTCATTGGACGGATGAAACAATTTTCCAAGAGACCCGAAGAATTTTAATCGCTGAACATCAATATATTTCGTATTACGAGTGGCTGCCAATATTTTTAGGTGAAACGATTAATTTTCGTCCCGTTATAATTAATATTAATAATATATTTCATATTCACGTTATTTTTTTAAAAACAAGATAAGATTGTTGTGAAAATCCAATTATATACATGAAAAAAGTGTAAATAAATATATCTATTAAATTTTTAGGCAGAAGGAGTACGTACGGTAACAAAATTTTGTATAAAACGAACAATTACGTGAACGATTATAATCCAAACGTGAATCCAAGTACTCTAAACGAGCATTCGAACGCAGCATTCAGATATTTCCATTCCCTTATCGCCGGTTTCCTCGAGTAAGTTTCTCAAACGTGACATTATAATTATCAATGTTAACAACTTTTTGAACAAAAATGAACAACGCTGTCAAAAGCTGGACGCAAATGATTATTTTTCAAATACATTTTGAAGTCGTCAAAACTGTCCACTAATATTTTAAACTTCTAACATTTGATAAATCAAATTAACACCTTCTTCCAACATTGTAATTTTGCATATTTTGATGATAACAATATCTAATAACAACACGTTGAATTAGATAAAAAATAAATCGAAATGTAAATTTTATTTCGTATATCTCGTAAAACCATTAGCTTGGTGAACGAGAACCGGTTTTCAGACGGTGCCGTGAGGCTCAGCGATTATTTCAACAGGCCAATAATTATCGAGCAAAATGACAATATGGACGAGTTGACAAGAGGCATGTCTTATCAACCGCAAAAAGCCAGCGATCAATACTTTGATCCAGAGGTAATACAAGCAACGTTTGAATACAATTGCGCACGAAAAAATGAATTTAAATTGTCCAATGTTTATTCCAGATCACTCACTTCTTATTTAGAAATGGAAGACCATTAGGAACAGATCTTCGTGCGACAGATATTCAAAGGAATCGCGATCACGGTTTAGCATCGTACAACAATTACCGGGAATATTGCGGTTTGCCAAGAGCCGAAAGCTTCCAAGATTTTACAGATTATATTTCTTCCTTGGTAAGTAGATAATTCAAATAGAAATGATTTAATATTTCTTTTTAACCCTTTGCTTTACAATTTAAAAAAAAAAGATATTAAATATTTAATTTCTAACACATACGAGTGAAAAATGAAATTCTAAATGGATAAAAATATTCAGAATTGTCTATACTTTCATAAAGTTTTACGATAAAATTTACGATAAAATTTGAATAACTTTCAAAATTACATGACATTTTTTACGTTCGCGAGAAAAAATAATAACTCGAATAATAACTAGAATAAAAAAATAATGATTCAATTTAAAAAATGTGTAAGCAAATAAATAAATAAATGTATAAATATATTCGATATTTAATAGTTAATGGCGATAGTGTAGCAATACATCGTTCATTTAATATCGTGCATTTTAATTCGACATAAAAATAACATATGCACTACTAAAATCAAAATTCAAAATATTTATTATGCACTTTATAAGTAGAATTTACACTATTTTTTTTTTTTTTTTTTTATTTCTGTTACATAACAGATATAAAATATCCACTATGAATTACAAATATTATGTGATGTAACTGAGATAAATTGCAAATGTAATTTCATAAAAATTCATAATGATAATTCACTTCGTTGTGTCATCATTTTCTTAAAGCTTATGCATTAAATCATTAGATAAAAAAAAAAAATCATTATATGTTACTATAGAACGTAGAAAAATTGGCTCAATTATATGTCAGTCCTGATGACGTAGAAGTGACTGTCGGAGGATCGTTAGAGGAACATGTTCCAGGAACACTCACTGGACCTACGTTCCTGTGTATTTTTGTGGAACAATTTTATCGAACGCGAGTAGGTGATCGTTATTGGTTCGAAAGAAGTGATCAAAAATTAGCATTCACTATAGGTAAATATCCTATCTTTGAAAAGTTAATTTTAATTTTGATTTATGCTAAAATTTTTAAAACTTTTACACACCCTTTGAGATTTTTCATGCGATAGTTTTAATTTAGTGCATCAAATTTCCTAATTTTTTTTCTTAATAGCAACTGCTATAATTATTTGATCATATAATTTTGCAGAACAATTAAACGAGATTCGGAAAACTAGCATAGCTAGATTATTTTGTGATAATGGTGATAATATCCAACGTATGCAACAAAGAGGTTTCGAAAAAGTATCTCAATTGTAAGTTTTCTATTTCTACATAAATTATGACAGATATTTTATAATTTAATAACAATTCTATTTAAGAATTAATTGTTAATTTCAGTAATCCTATTGTAAGCTGTGACGATATTCCTTCGATAGATCTTTCATTATGGAAAGATTATGCTCCGACACTAACGACACAACATATAGCATTCTCGAATTTTAAGAAATAAAAATTATTAACTGCGATAATTATTATACATTTGCCAAATATCAATTTACTAGATAATCTCAATGCTACGTGAAGTATTATTAATTAATTTAAGAGTTATATAATATATATATATGTGTATATATATATTTACATAATTTTGAAAATTATGTTTTATATTATGAATAAAATGCATTATTTTGTTTATAAACAATCAATATCTTAATCTTTTTCATTTTTTCCTTGATATAATTATATTTTTATTTTAAAATTAATCAAAAAATCATTAAAGTTATATTATTTTTTAAATATATGGAACAAAATTGCAAAATTTAATTTTTAAAAATTTTTGTTTTTATATTTTTCTGTGTATAACTATATTTTTCATTTATTTTTCCTTATTAAAAGAAAAATAAATAAAATTAAAAAGAGATATATTAACAAAATATATTATAGATGAAAAATCAAGTGATCTTACCTGATCGAAATCCTCATGTGACTTTTCAACAGCAAATAATGAATTGGAATGTCGTGTAATGTCAATGATTTCCATTCTTAAACGCTGAAACAATTTACGATATCATACAAATATCAACGATAGATAGATAAAAGATTAAACTTAAAATGAAAATAGCAATAATCATAAATAAGAAATACTTAACATAAAATATAATAAGTTTATTCAATTCAGAAAATTTTATTAATTTATTTTATAAAGAAAAAAAATTTGAATTCATTAAATCGTATATATATTATACGAATGAATAAAGAATATAAACAATATAGAATAATTATATAAAAATACAATTTTCTAGATTTTGAAGACTAATAAAAAAGATGTGGTGTAAACTTTTTAAAATTTCTTTTAGAATATAACAATACATGAAATATTATTAAGTTTTTCTTATTTCAAGGATTATATTACATCCTTGATAGCCTTTTGAAAATTTTTCAGGCATTCATTTGCAACGATATTATTGAAATTTATTGATATAATTTTTAATTAAATATATCTTCACTTTTTTTTTTGTAGATATATTTTCAGATCATCCAAAAGAAAAAATCATGAAAAGCAAAATCAAATAACGTACAAATCAAGGAATATTATTGAAATTAAATAGTATGCAATATTTCTTTTTTTTAATCGAAGCTTAATAAAAATTAAATAATATTTCATGTACTTTTATATTTTAAAAATAATAAAAAATTTTCTTAACGTCCTTTTTATTAATCATTAAAATCTAGAAGATTGTGCTACTATATTATTATTGAAATATTAGAAAGAAAGTAAATTAAAACACTTGTTTGGTAAAATCATTATTATAATGAAAGAAGATATAGTCATAATTTATTGAAGTTGCAATACTCTTTAATTTGCCACGTGATATTACTGTGTGTTTTATCAAAGTACCGTTTATTTGCAATATATTCTGGTGTAAAATGGAATTTACGACTTATCCCAACACGTTCAATAAACTTTCTTATCTTACATATGTTTACGACCGTCTGAGCAATATTTCCTATTAAGGAACGAATATCGGAATCAATCTCGAAACGATCCCACTCGTAAGATTTATAATCGTATAATTCTAGAACAGAATTCTTATCAAGATATACATCATTCCATATGGCAAAATTGTATACAAAATTAAAAATAAATAATTTTAATCTTTGAAGATCGTTCTTCTTAAAATTGTTAGTTCTTTTGTTTATTATTATTATTTATATATGTTATTTTAATTATTTACGAAATATGATGTAGTTTGCATATAGATTGAAAGAAGAACATCTCTTATAAAGATCTCTTAAAAAGATCTCTTATAAAGATCTCTTATAAAAATTAATTGAAAAATATATCATAAATCTATAAAAATTTGTTATTATCAAACAAATTTCGACGAATTTAAAACTTTAATCAAGGTACAACGTTTGAAAAGTATATCCTATAATATTATTATTTCTGCTTGTTTAATCATAAAATTTATTATATTACATAACAAAATGCAAAGAAATCTAGAAATTTCTATTATTATATAATATTATATAGATTAGTTTTATCAATAAAATTTTTAAATAGATAATCTTATGTAATGATAAAAGAAATAAGAAATTAACAACTAAAAAATTGAATTTTTATATTAATTTAATATAATGTGAAGCACACAAATAATATTACAATTAATTGATTGAACCAATGATTATTGTATTAATTTGTATATATAAATTTATTATATTGGAAAAATATTAAATAAGATATATGCAAACTACACCGAATTTCGCAATTTTTGATTCAAGACAAAGATATATTAATTTAATATTATATTAAATTATATTCATTTTCCAATAAAGATTTTTTGTTCTGGATAAATATAAAAACAAATTATTATATTTAAAACTTTGAGCTTGCGGAATCTGACAATTTTATATCAAATAATAAATATTAATAAATAAAATAATAAATATAAATAATAAATATTGATATAGCAATAAATTATAAAAATAAAATATGAAAAATTTTATTTACCAGTTGAATAAAGATTCAACTAAAAATGCTAAAAAAATAAGAATAATAAATAAAGATTAAATTAAATGATTAAAAAAATATCTATAGATAATTCAAAAAAATAAAAATTTGGGATAGATAAAAAGATATTAATTAAAAATAATTATATATAATTTTGTAATAAAAAAATTTTATTTATTATTATTGTCAATATAAAATATTTTTAAATGCACACTAATGTATATATATTATACAAGTGTGTAGCACGTAATATTTATTGAAACATTATTGCATTATTAATCTTGTACCTTTTAAATCATAATTCAATTTTATTATTAATATAAATACATTTTTATTAAGTTTGTATATATTATATAGTCACTAATTATCTGATTGTACGTAAGAGTTAATTATATTTTTTAAACTGAAGTAAACAGAAAAATTAATGTAATTAAATTAATGTACTTTTGTATATACTTTAATAATTGTACAATAAATTTGTTTTGTTACTGCCCCATGTGATTACTTCTATATATTTAATTATTTATAATTATGTATAAAATAAAAAATGTAAGTTTCTATAAATATTGTTCTAATTTTTTTCTTAATCAAATTTAATAGCTTTCAAGCAAGACCATTACTAATATAATACTGGTTTAAACAATAAAATTTGTTCCTCTTGGTTTTAATTTATATGGCAGTGTTGGTTTCGAAAATATATTTGCAATTTTATTGTGCAATTGTTTAATGCATTCTGGAAGAGGAGCATATTCAGTTAAATTTTCTAACAATGGTCGCTTGAAAAGCCTTTTTGCTTCCTGACGTTGTTCTGGAGTCACAGTTCTATCATCCAGATGTACCAAGTGAGGAAACCAAGATATGACGTATAACCTTTTTTTTTTATAAGAAAATTTATGAAAAAAATATTTATAAAAATTAAATAATCATGCATATATTCGAATGCATGCAAACGTTTAATATAAAATTTTATTATTTTCCTAATTATTTTTAATTTCCATACCTGTACTGAAGATAGTCATAAAAAGTCCCACCATTTAAATAACTTGGTGCAGCCTTGTTTCCCATAAGACACAAATACCTGAGGTTGGGTACACTCTCATAGAGATTCTTAATAAATGGATATAATTCTTCTATGTTATTATGATTTAACCACAGAAGTTGAAGTTTTGGCATATGTGGAAACATTGTGTGATCATCTATATTATTATGGTCTAGATTTAATGATGTTAAATTTTCAAATTCACCCAAAAATTGTAAGTTTCTAAAAATTTTATAAAAAAAATAAAATATATAGTAAAGCTTTTATTAATAAATATATTTCTCAAAGCATTAATGCATTTGCACATTACATAAAAATTCAAAATAATAGCTACATACATACCTAGTAAATTTATTATGACTAATATCCAATGTATGGAGAGTATTGCTATAATTTTCTATAATGTCAAATGGCATATAAAAAAGATTCTCAAAGGCAAGTGATAAAGAATCAACAATATCTACAGATAGTTTATCTGAAGATAAAGACTTTGGATGTCTACAATGTAAATCTACAAATATTAATCTTCCTAAGGAAGTCATGGCAAATTCTTCCACCTCGTCTGCTTCTTTTTGTAATTCTAACTCATCACTGTAATCCAACCTGTAAAAATTATTCTATTTAATTTAGTAGTATTCTGATTTTTTTTTAACTCAAAATTCTCTTAAATATTTAAGGATTATTTAATAAATAATTGTTAAAAGATTTTAAAATACTTTCTTGTATAAAATATATGTTTACAAAATAAAAGCGATATTATATATTTAAAAAATAACAGTTAAAAAAAATATGACAAAAAATTATTAATCATTAATATTAATATGTTAGTTTTATATATTAATATATTATTTCATTTATGACATATTAAAGAATTTCATTTATAATATTATTATTAATATATAATTCTTTTTATTAATAATTAATGAAATATGATATTTCTAATAGTTATATATTATACACATACATATATTGATAATGATCTCATTCTTTAATATTCAGAAACTTTTATACATAGATATCTAAATATATCAAAAAATTTATGAATATATAAATATTCTATGACATTTTGAAATGACTAATAAGTCAGTGATAAATAGATTTTTGGAAAAAACCTTAATCATCATACTTACATTATGCCTTGACTTATATCACCTTACGGGGCAGTAACTTCAAATGAACAATCAACACGTTAAAATCATGCAATACACTTTTCACACACTACATTTATCTATACCATTCACTCTAACATTGATTAAAGTTAAAACTTGCATTGGCAAATAATATTGCATAAAGAGAGAAGATCGAGTAAGGCTGTAAGGCTTCAGTGTAATATGCAATGCATGTAGTGATTGGGTCAACCATAGTGAGTTTTCCGGCGGTTTAATTGATACTGAGACTCTAAATCGTGATGATAATACGTAAAATTGATCGTTTATCTGACGATAATTAATGATAAGATACGAACAAAATCAATTCGTAGTTAAAACATTATCGATATTACGAGTAATTCAAACCAAAACGTAAGATATAGAGGTTAGAAATTTGGTATTGTACGATATTAAAATGTTATTAATATATTAACAATAAAACGATAATTATTAACGAAGATAAAAAAGTTAGAAATTAATCAGAATAATATAAATTACTCACCGAATTTTCCTGCATATCTTGTTTTCAAACCTTTCCAGAGAATGAGATAATGAAACGTTGAATATTCATTATTGAACTAACACAGATGGTGCTGCTAGTTCAAACTGGTAAATTATTAATGTACTTAAAAATCGAACTATATATCGATTAATCGTTTCATCGATATGTATTTTTCAAGTTAGTGATAATTGTGCATAGTGTCCGTATTACTTTTTTTCAATCAATTGGAAATATATTCTTTTTAATCAGAGAGAAAATAAATTGGTAAAATATTTATTACATAAAAATTTTAATAGATTTAAGAATATCTTTATTCAAAATACGTAATTACAACGATATTTGCTTATATATAATAGTTATATTTAAAATTGAAATCATGCTTTTCTATCATTTATACATTTACTAAACATTTGAATTTTAATTTAAGAATATTTTAAACATAATTACTTTATAATTATTATTAATTGGGATTAGTAAAACTTATTTCTTTTTTAATAAAATAAAATAAATTATATATCAATAAGTAATTTAAAAAATTTACTACTAAGATAACCTCTTTTTTCTTAATGTTGAATTTATTATTATAGTTATAAATATATATATATTTATTATAGAGATGATGCTGTTAGTTTGAAAATATGAAGAAAATATGCAAGAAAATTCGGTGAGTATTTTGTAATCTCTTATTGATTTATAGAATAAGAATAAGCTATTTGGAACTTGTTTTTAAGATGTAAGTACATATGTAGAAGCAGATATCTTTAAGATGTTCTTAAGATGGCTTTATATCATTTGCATTATGTTTAATTATTAATTCCGAGAAATAGAAACAAAAAAAGGATTATATAATGAATCTTAATGTATAATTAAGAATCTTTAACAACTATATAATTTTCATCTATTATATTTTTACTCATTTATTATAAATATATAAATATTAAACATTTAAAAAATTTATAATTATTGTCAAAAACTAAATTAATATATGAAATCTATAATAATAAAGATCTATAATAGACATCATTCTGATAAAGAAATATAACACAGGAGACAGGAATAATAATTAATCCTAAAGTTGAAACTTTAGTCCACAGACATCTTTATTTAAAGTGTTAATATGTAATTAGTTTTTACATAACTTTATTTACTTTTCATGTTGTTATCAACACGATTTATAGATAATCAATAACATCATTAATATTTTTATATATCGAATAATAATCAGCGATTATATTTATCTCTTTTTCTTATTAAGATTCACGTCCAGCGTGACATTTAAACTTTCGCTTCGTTTTTTCTTTCAATTTTTCTCTTTTCATTACAATACTATAAACAATGGAATAGGATTTTTCATTATGCATTTTATATTTTTTTAATCTTGTAACAGATTATGCCCGACTTTGTTTACACGTTCATACAATTTCAATGTATGCATTTGCACGTATCTTCAACGGGCAGTGATTAATAATAAAAACAAATGTCAAAGCTTTTAAAATACCGTCATATCTTTTATAGTGAAATTGATATCGAATAGTATCTAGAATCAAGAATTGTTTGCAATCAAATTAAACAAATTATATGTCTCCTCTGTTTTTTGCAACTTTTTTTTTTTTGATTTTGATCACGATTTTTATTATTTAGAAAAAAATCTGAAGTTTCCTGTAGAACTATCTGAACTACGTATTTTTAACGTAGATTTATTTATAACAAATATCATTCTACTGACAATCGTGTTTATTGTAATGCAATGCATTGGATTAATAGCTGTTCTGATTAATAGCACAATAAATAAAAGAAAATTATTCATGGCAAAACGTGAATAGATTTCTACTTTCTCTCTTGTTTCTTTTCGCTTTTATTGAAGTCTTCATTTTCAAGGAAAACACTTTAAAGGGGTATTAAGTACACTCGATAAAGTGTCTCAGTGGTTCTCACAAATTATTGATGTATTTCAATGGAATTATATATTAATTAAAGTGAGATAAAAATAGATGCAAAAGTTAATTTTATTCATTTATTTTTTACTAAGATTTTTAAGCTTTTAAATAACATTACGAGCTTTTAATTTTAATACGAGCATTTTTATTATATTCAAAAAACATGCTGCATAAAAGTTTTGTTTCTTGTACAAGATAAATTACTTAGTGATTAAATAACTCGTATTTTTTGTATGAAAAATTATTTCACACAAAATTTTCATATAAAAAGAGATATTCAATATTGTCAATTTTTTTTGCAAATAAACATATATATAATATAATATAAATGTTAACTTATTTAATTTTTCACTAATCAATTTTCCATAAAAAACTATTAAGCCAATTATAGTAAAAATTATTAATTTAAGAGATACTTTTTTTTAAATTTGATGTAAAATTTAAATATAAAAGTATACATGAAATATCATTCATTTGTTCATGCTTTCCTGTTTTATATGCAATAACTTTTACAAAATTTATATCAAAATATTTTCAAAACTCATAATAATTTTTTATTATTAATAAAACTATTATTAGTTACTCAATATTTTTCTTTTTTTTATAGAAATAGCAATAATATTCCCCTTAAAAAAACAAAGCTTAATTTCATATATCTATTTACAAAAAAAAATCATATCCCCTTCTACATTATGCAACTATGTATGCAATATTTTTTTCTATAAAAAATAATTTATTTTAATTACTGATTACATAATTCATCCTAATATTCTTTATTTAAAATAATATATTATTATATAATAATTTCCAGAATATGAATCAAAAATTGTAGCTTAATCACTCTATGTAGGAATACTGATTATACTGAGAATCACTGTGACATCGTTATCGAGTGTATAAATATCGAATAAAGTATAAAATATCATTTTTCAAATTTATTATCTTTTTCATTTTATTATTATCTTTCTTTCAAGAATTTATAAAAATACTATCCATTTGTTAAATAATTTTTTGATTATTATTTTTTATTAATACGTAACTAATAAATATATGCAACAATAAAGTTCAATGACATCTAAAATTTATTAAAATTTATCAATATTTTTGTTATTTATTTATTTTTTTTATTTATTTTATTATTTTATTTACTTCTTGTTGAAAATCGAGAAAATCAATTTATTGTTTTCAATTTTCTTTTATTATACATTCAGAATTACATGACAGGTTATATTAAGTCGCGAAACAACATTGTTGTTCAATATCTTGAAGCACAAGAAAGTTTTGAAGAATATAACTAAAGAGTAAATTGCTCTCAATCATATTTGTACATATTTTTCTTGTTTTCATCTTTATAATTTAAATAAAAAATATTTTATTAATAAAACCAATAAAAAAAAATAATATTGAGAAAAGATTTTTAAACACGTCATTACAATTCTAATAAGTTATCTATAAATTAAAATCTGAAGAATTTTTAATTTTTAAATTTGTATTTAAAATTTTTTGTATACAAATACGAATGCGAGCATTTTATTTTCATATTTTTATTACAAATTCATTAAATTTCTATTACTCAAATGATTATCGATAATTTATATTATTTTAATATTAATATAATAATGTCATGTATCAGTTAAATTTTTTTCTAAGGAAATTGAAATTAAAAGCAAAACACAGTAACATAATATTTTAAAAATTTCATTGAAAAATCGGGCAATAAAATATTAAATGGGTTAAAATTGAAATACGTACCAGTTGTTCAGTTGTTCGACTCCTCCTTCACTAGTCAACATCGATTAAAATTTAAAAATCTCTTTAATTATAATTTATTGAAAAGTCTATCGTCTGTTTATTCAAATATACATATAAATATATATGTATATATATATATATATTTATCTATATATCTCTATAGGTACATTATGTATGTGCAAAATATTAATATATTTATGAAACATCTTTAAAAATTCGATCCTGAAAGCCAAAACAAATGCAAAATGCCCAAATTCATTTATTGAGTTATAAACAATTTAATTTCATATTAAATGAAATGAGATGAGGATAGAACCATTTCACTTGTCTTTGTCTTGCCTCTGTTACCAATCTCTGTTATTCCAATTTAACTTTTAGAATTGACCACCTCCAAAGATGTTCCACAAATATATTAACACCTTGTATATTTATCTATACATATATTTCTGTATATGTACCTTTTATCTCTCAGTATAACATCATATAATAATATCTATACAAGACACATTTAGGGCAATATTGAAACTCGTTTAAAATATAACACTTCATTTCTGCAATATTTCCTTACACGATAATTAAGCCAACGTTTTTTCTTTTTCTTCTCTCTCTCACTTCTTAATCCATCTCTGAAATTTATTTCTGCCAATAATTACGAACGAAGATATATTCATAATTTTTTTTTTTTTTTTTTTTTGCTTTGTTTTGTTCCTTATTTCCCTTTTTCTCGTTTTCTTCTTTTTTTTTTATTCGTTTCAACACCACGTTCCACGCCATATATTTTTTTCTCTCTTTCTTCCCAACGTTACACAAAAAAAACTCTGAAGCCATTAATACACGCGGCTATGCTTTATTCCGAACAAATTCAACTCTGAAAATATCGTCTGTTCAACGAATGGAGTGAGATATTTTGTTGTTTCTGTAGACGAACGAAAATCGAGATCGTTCGATTACACCCACTTCCGAAAGCACAACGATCTCTGCCACTGGACGTGAAGGAGGCTTGTAGCACGAGTCACGATCATTTTTTTTTTCTTTTTTTCTTTTTTTTTTTTTTTTTTTTT